CCAAGGAGAAGGTGCGGAGAGACCTGTCTGACAGAAGGGCTTGAGGCAAGTACTTCCGGCCACTGAAACATTAGGCTGGACCAGCGGGAAGGATTAGCTGTGGATTCAAATATTGCTTTCACAAGTGATTGAATTATTCCTGCTTTGGAGTCAGATTGTCCTAGAGGCTTGGTCAAAGCTGAACATATAGGTATGCAATATATGGTCCAAAATGTAGTATTTGGAGTGTAATTGCAGCAGGAAAGCAAATGGTGTAAAAATCTCATCTAGAATGAAAAACACAGCCTTTCTGCACCAATAGCTTGTGAAATTTCTGTTTATTTATGCCCATTAAAGAGACAAGAAAAATAAAATATGAATAAGTCCACATAAAGCCTAAATAAGTAATTTTTGTACCAAGGACAGCTTTTTCAGTTGGTTTCTGTGGAAGAACCATGTGTCCTCCCATGAACCGATCCTGACGATGTAAGGGTGGGAAGGGGTGACACTGTTCCTCACCATGAAAAGAGTTATTGCTGATGCTACTATAACAACAGACAGGCTAACAAGAGAAAAAGCACAGCACATCCCCTTAGCTAAGTGTTATGTGACAATGAAACTTCAGAAATGAAGGAAATTCTTTTTTATGCTGAGATTCTATGAAGAATGGAAAGCCATTCAGAAAAGTGATTGGATGTAAAGGTAGGAGCCATGGTAATGGGAGCAGTTGTCCAACAAGGCCTGTCTTCCCAGCTGGCCTCTCTGTATAGAATCCCTTTCTCCCATGTATGGGGCAGGGGGTTTTCAAAGAAGAGGGGAAGTCAGGCAGTGATATTTCCAAGTTTTATGGCATGCTTTGGAAAAGTGACTCATCTTAGATAATAGGAATTCTGCTAAGATTTTCTTTGGAGGAGATGGGAGGGCAGGAAAAGGTGGGAAATAAATTTTTTAGTAAAGCCTTCTAGTTTACTTCAGTTCAGAGCACTTTGGAGCAGCATTTCTAAGGCCTATCAATGCAACTCTCAGAAAAATACACTGAAATAGAAGAACCATGAATTAAATCCACTTTATCAATTTTATGTTTTTAATTGCATGAGCTTATAAAAAGCTACAAAACCTTTTCTCTGTGGAGTGATGGCATTTAGTATGATAATCATTACTAATCCATTCACTTGTAATTTGACATTCTACTTTGGCTTACTTTGTACATTTATAACTAGTAGAATTCAAAGAATTATATCACTGTACTGTCCATTTTTATGCCAATGTGGCAAAAAATTTATAAAATAGTTATATTGCCACATGTCTTGATGTTTGTTTCTGTAAACGTCTCAATTTTGCAAAATGTTTAGGAAATAAGCAAGAGAGAGACATCTTGGCACTAATAAAAACCTCTCTTTGAGAAAGTATAACATAGTTAGGATTTTACATATATGTGCCGATTATTCATATAGAATATGAATGGGACTAGGCTAATAAATTCTTACTCAGAACATTGGTATGTTTACCACAATAAATGTGTTCTCATTAAAAATGAAGTCTTTTTGGAACATTAGCACCCATATCAATCAGAGTTTTCTAGAGAAACAGATTTAATGCAAGATATACAAATATATAAGAATTTACATGACTGGCTTCCAGTGGCCACCCATAGAGTCAGGTATGGAAGAGTACACAAGAGCTGTGTATGCACTGGAGACCGAAGGAAACAGTTGAAGGCCTGGAGCTCAGTGCAGGGTCCCCTTTGCATCCGTACCAGGAAGCTGATGGGTTTGCGCTGGAAGCCAGGAGATGGTGTCCAAGATAAAGGTGAAGACTGGAGCTCTTCCGAAGAAACAGAAGCAGCCTTCCTTCTTCATTTCCCTTCATTCCACTCTGGAGTTCGCCTTCCCTGGGGTGGGTCTTCCACACACAAGAGTTATGCTGAGCCAATCTAGTAGGCATTTCCACTGAAGTTGACACAGCAGTCAACTATCACAGTGCCTACATCAAAGAAGTGACTTTACTTCTTATTTTATTGAGACATATTACATACATGTAAAAAGTACTTACTACATATTAGTGCCAGGTGGCCCTTGGCCAGTATCTTCATGATGGTTAAAGTGAAACTTGGGTTGGCCATATCTATAAACCAGTGTAGTGAAAAATCATTAGTGGGGAAAATAATGATCTGTCTTGGTTTCTCCCTGCATTGCTGGAACAGAATACTGGGTATCCTCCAGTGAACGGAGAAAAGGTTTATTCTGGCTCATAGCATGCAGAGGTCTAGAGATCATAGTCAGCTAGCTACAAGGGCACGGCAGAGGAGAAGAGGAAGCTCATGGCACAGTGTTAGGGAAGGAGGCAAGGAGGAAAGGGGGGGGAGAGCGATGTCAAGGCTCACCTCCTGTAACCAGGATTCACCTCCAGCATCGCATCACCTCCCCAGATCCCTACCGTGAGCGAGTGAGGCTTTGGGGGCCGCCTGGATAGAAACCCTCACTGACTCCCTTTGCCAGCTGAGGAAAGTGACAGTTTTTACCCTTTATCCCTCTCTAGTCTGGCCACGATGGCCCAACACGTTCATTCATTGTACAAAGGACACTCAACTCGCTATTTACTAGAGGCCCAAATTAAACACCGAGTGTAGTTCAGGCACCAGGGCACCTTTCTCAAAAGAGCGCAGCTTGCTGGTATTGTAGGGAAGAGTCAAATTTGATCCCTGTGAGTGTTGAGCTTTAAGTGTTCATGTCTTCTTCCTGACTTTCAGTGGAAGCTGGCACGCAGACCAGCCATGATGCGCATTTGTTTTTATCTGAACAAACGCCTCCATTCCCACCAAAGGGCCCCTGTGTTCTCCACTCTTTCTCTTCTGAAGGCCCCTGTGAGTCAAAGCTCACAGATGTCAGGTTAGTGCTTTACGGGTGGTCGGGCTATCCTAGCTGCTTAGCAAATGCAGGCACCACTTCCGTAATTTACCTTCTGTTCCTGCTCTACTTTCTCTGGTGTCTGTAGTACTTCAGCAGCTAATGACCCAAGAGCAGTCGGGCTTCTAGGCAGCACGTCTGTCTCTAGAACTGCGTCCGACTTTAGCCCTGTTCCCTACCCCCTTAAATGAAGAGGTCAAACCATTTCCGTTTCCCCGTGCTCACGGGAAGTATCAATTGATTCTCACGCGAAGCTGTACTTCAAGTTCATGTTGGGGTCCAACTCTCATCTTCACTCTTACCTAATGCATTTATTGGCTGTACTTCACAATTAGCAATTCCTTCATACCGTCTTGGCTTCTTACCACCATTAAACCATCCTCCCTGGACAGAAAATGCACATTACTTTCTTGCTGGGTTGATATAATCATGTACCGTCTGGCAGAGACAGACTCCTCGGTTCTTATCAGACTGAAAAGGTTATGACCAATGAGGTGTGCTTTTTGTTTAATGCACCTTTCGGTGGAGAGGAGATAGTTGTGGCAAGCAGGAGGCCTATCACTGAGCCTCTGTTTCCCCGCCGTCTTTCAGAAACTGGGTCAGAGTTCTGTTTTTCCCTCTTTGAGGCAGGAACTCTAATACTTGTCTGACATCTCACAGGACCTGGGTGAGGATAAAATGAGATTCTGTATGTCAATTTTCATAAACAGAGGATATTGAACCTGATTTTCTCAGTCAGACTTTCGAGCTCTATCACACTTTGCTTTTACATCAATTTTTCAGAGAATCTGTGCTCTGAATCAGGAGACATCCAGGTGGCAGTGTGTACTGCAGGAAACATGTCCTTGTGCCTTTTGAAAGTGGCAAAATGACTCCCACACACATCACTTCAGTGTACAGTTTGTCAGGGTGGAAGGTTTATGCCCCAGGGAACATAGCTATTGGTTGAAGTATTTTTTTTTAATAAAAAATATATAACTTTCTTTAGGGATCAAATTTTAGGACAAGGTGTCTTCTGTACATAAACCAAAGGCTTAAAATTTATCAAACAACCACCGAGAATCTATCAAATGTTTTTTTTTAATTTAAAGATGGTTATTAAACTTTTTACTTTACGTACAGATTGTTTAGGTATGGAATGATGGAGAGTATGATGAAAACTGCTGATGAACTTGGATATCTTGTGGTATATTTAATTGACTAAAGTCTAGGTGGTTTGTATATAGGAGAGGTTTGGAGATTTCCAAACTTTCTTTTAACATAACCCTTATCAAAAGGGTTGTAGCCCTGAGGTGGAGATATTAAGTAGTAAGATTTAACTTTCACATAACACAAGTGCTTGTAATCCGTCTTGTATTAGATTTATAGGGTAGGCTTGTCTTCCCAGTGAGGCAAAGGCTTCTGTCATGTTTTTATAAGCCACATAATTAACTGAATATACTTCTTTCTGTAGTTGCTCAATAGTTGCTTATAGATGGGAAAAAACTGCACTCTCTACTGTGTTGGAAGAATGTATTTTCCCAAATGTTTTCCACACTGTTTTCTTATAGCTGTCAGCTGTAAGGTACAACTTAAAATAATACAAACTCTTAGATCTGTTTAGTGAGCATCTATGTGGCCAGTGGTTTCGTGTCTCTGGTGGTCAGTTTCCTCTCACGTAAAATAAAGAAGCTGCCATGGCAGTTCCCAAATACCATCTGTGTCATTAGGAGCTGATCTCTGATTTTTTTTGAGACAGGGCTTCATTGTGTAGTTAAGATTGACCTGGAACTCACTATGTAGCCCAGGCTGGTCTTGAACTCACAGCGATCTTCCTGCCTCAGCCTCCTGAGTGCTGGGCTTACAGGTGTGTGCCACCATGCCTGCCTATTTTTGGCTCTCTTATTACTATTCAATACCACCCCAATTTTGTATGCTCTAAATCCTATGGGGAATCTTTCCTAGTAATGGCACCAAATCATAGAGATTTAATGACATTGCTTATTCTATTTGTTATCTAAATTGTCCTAGAATTTCCTTGCATTTTTGAGGCAGAAATTAGGTAGAAGAAGCAGCTTAAGCATATATATGTTAAAATTAAAAAGCTGATTTTTAAGTTTGTAGGTGGACTGATTTTTCTCATCAAACTGAAAAAATGAAGTCAGTTTACTGAACCAGGAAAGGATAATTTGCATAGTTCTGGAGAGCTCCCTACTTCTGCAACTTAGGAACACTCAAGGCATTTTGGAAAAGGTAGTCACAGAAAGGGGGAAAGCTACACACAGTTTTGGGGGGAAGATACTGTTCTTAAATTTTATGTTCTTTTTTCCCCAGAAAATGAATTTTATCAGCTCGATCTAAATAATGTAATTAAATAGATGCCAGTACCACACTTGAGCTGGAAATGTTTATAATAAAAGCCATAATTATAAATGGAGTTTATTATTTTTACTGATGGCATCTTTTGCACCACAGTGGTATCTAAATATAACCCTTCTGCCCACATCACAGGAGAAAGGAATCACCCCGGGCAGCCATTAAAAGGACACTTTTCCTGCAGTGTGTGGTTATCCAGACTCATGAGCTGCAGAGTGCCCATTGCCCAGTCTCAGTTTTGATCTTGGCTCATAGAAGGACCTCCTTCCTTCTGATACCTGCAGAGAAAAAATGAGCCTCTTGCCAGTACTGCATATCACCAGCTGGAAGGTAATACCACTGTCTTTAATAGGAAATGGACACAAACCACAAAAATAATTTCACAGACCAGCCGGCATTGTAAAGTTCCCTAGTATTTGGTTTTATGTATTGTGATTTATGGAAGAAATAAGCAAACAAGAGAATTTTTTTCCAAGAGGAAAGTGTATGTAGTACCACTATCTGTTATACCAAAGAAGAAGAGGAGGAGGAGGAGGAACAAGAGGAGGAAGGAGAAGAGGAATGTTATGTTACTGGTCATCATCATATAAAGTAGAGCATAAACGGTAAGTGTGGAAGGTTTCTTGAGTGCTGAGACATTTAGTGGTGACATCCTCCCTGTGAAAGCAGCTGGGCACTGAGAGTGCTGTTTTTGGTAGGAAGTCACAAGGTTGATTGATGACACACCCCAGAGGGCACTCTTGGAGGAGCTGTGCACCCATCTCCCATCTGGAGCTGCTGGGCTACAGTTCACTGCGAGGTTGGCTGCTGAACGAGCTGCCCTGGCAGCGCCTCTGTGACAGGGGAGAATAGTGGCTGGGGAACTGGTCCAGAATCACAGGATGTCAAGAAAATGAATGGAGCTGGGCACAAAACAGCCAGCTCTTCTCAAACACGAGGGGCTGGCAGTTCCAAAAGAAGGATGATGCACAGGTTTATGACCACAGGATGGGGAATAGTGTGTTCCTTTGTTTTTTCTGTTTATAGAGATTTCAGTTCCAGGGAACATGCTACTTACAAATAAATATAATGTTTCTGCTGCTTCACTGTTTAAAATAATTTGAGTGTACTAGAGTATAAGCTTCTTTTAGGGAAGGCAGCCAGTATTTACTTGTGCATGTGAACAACCCAACAGCCCCATAAGAGATACATTCTTCTGTTTTGTTTTTTGTTTTGGCACCGGGGATCGAACTTGGTATCTTGTACTTTTGAGGCAGGCAGTGGAACCGCTGAGCTCAATCCACAGCCCAAGAGATGCATTCTTGATACATAGCTCTCCAGGAAGCTGATGCTGGTATTACATACTTACAAAATGTCAGAAGGCAAAAGTCACACACATACCATACAGAAAGGTCTGTAAGAGTCATAAGCAGTTTTCAAGGATGGAGAAATGTGATTTTCATTGTCTTTTGGGGGCAGTGGTGTTAGTGGCATGCTTATGACTACATATTTTCACTTTGGCAGTCTGGTTTTGCATGATGTTATTGAAAGGCTTTTATTTTTATGGTAAATTCCATTTACTGTATTGTGCCAGTTGTCACAGAGCACAGTACATAGAATATCTGAGAGGGGAAGGATGCCAGTCTTCTGAGAAGGTGACTACTTAGACTAGGTCTGGAGCTGGCTCAAACTTGGGGCCGTTCTGGCTGGTGAATAACATTTGTGAGCAGGACTTGTGATTTGACCCAAGTAGTGGCGATGATGAAATCAAAATGATTACTGAGGGACTCAGTCAGCTCTCCTCAATTCCTTAAGACTGTTTTAGGAATGGCGATTTGGAGGAAGGAAAGATGAAGTAGTGAGAACACAGATGAGGAATCGCCCCACTTTGCTTCTAATGTAAACCGGGAAAGGACCAGCCTGAGAGAAGATATTTGTTTGTCTGCAAATATCTTTTATGAAATTTTGGTTCATTTGTGATATGGAACTCACGGATTGATTCTGTGACTCTCTTCTGGTTATGGCTATGTATTATTACTTTGCTACCCTATTTTTGTACAAAATTAATGTGATGCTTTCATTATTTGCAATAAAATTCATTTCTTCAACTATGTTGATTAAATAAAATAAGATGCTTTTAGAGGCAAAATTACATTATGTATTCTCTTGATTTATAGGTGACTTTCAAAGAACACTGAGAGTAAGATTCTCATCGACAGAAGCAAATACAAACAGTCTTGGAATGGTTGAGACATAGAAACCTTTGGAAGGCATTAGCTAGGTAACTGGTATGCACCAAATGCACCTGTATTGCTTGCTGTTTAATTTCTCTTTGACAATACTGTAACGTGGAGATTAAAATGTGTTCACTGTGTGCTCAGGATGACGTGAGCAGATGAAAGGATGAGCAGAGATTTGAACTCAGCTCTGAGTGGAAGGCTGTCCTTTCTCTCTTACTTCACCTGCTTCTGCTGTGCTTCACTGTGTAGAGTTTGAGTTGCTCGAGGATTTGACAGCTCCAGCTTTGTGTTAGCAATGTGCACAGGAAACCAAGAAGCTGGTGTAAAGTTACTAGTTGTGTTACCTAGTATGGCTCTTGTAGTAATTTTTGCCAAGGAAGAAATAAAAGCAAATGCCTAAAATTAGAATGTGGTTAAAACTATAATCTCAATTTTGGAATTTTCTCCCTGGTATAGAAAACCGTCACCAACAAGTGAGGATCACAGCATAATCCAGGCATCTATTGTCCTCAGACTAAGAGAATGGAGGTTTTTTTACTCCTCCTTATGTTTTCATAAAATGTGATTGGTGCTATTTTTCGATCTATAAATTTTGTCTATTTTATTAAATATTATTATAAAATATTTATCTCAAGAGACAAAGCCATTTTCTTAAAAAGAGATTCGCCTTTTTGAAAGGTTCCAAAGTTTCACATGTATTAAGCACAGGAAAAAGCCAGCTATGCAGAGTGAGTTTGGACCAAGTAACAGTAGGAAAAAGGGAGTGAAGATAAAAAGGTTCACTCTCCTGCACAGGGTGGGCCACCATGAAGAGACATGATAACGTTTAATGGCCACGGTCCTTTTTTTACGTTTCCTACATTGGCATCCTGTCCAGGTCCTATCAAAACCCTGCTCAAGTTCTAGAAAGGAATCCATGTCAGGGCTTTGGGGATGGTTCTGCAAACCCCTGATGGTTCTGCAAATGTTCGGTGGTTTCGTTGCGTCCCCTTTCTCAGCTAGGTTTAGCCACACTTGATCTTCCTGCCTTCCTTCGCCCTGAGCGGCACTTATTCCCATATTTTTTTGGGGGTTGGGGGATGTAGATATCTCTTTCTTCGTGTATCTACTTCTTGAAGGAAGGTACTGTAGACTCTACCTCCTGGGGATTACGTGCTCTCCATCCTCCTTCGGGGTGTTGTGGCTCACAAGCTGGGTTGAAGAGAAAAAAAAACAAAACAAAACCATTAGAAGACAATGAGATAAGAATGAGTTGCCATCTCACTTTTCTGTTACCTCATTCATACACACACACACACACACACACACACACACACACAAATTCACCTTTCTTTTGTACCCAAGATGAAAATTGAATTTAATGGAAGAGTCTGAATTTGGGGTCTATTTTTTATTTAGGACATGGGGTATTGTGGGCTGCACTGTATCACTCCAAAGCATGCATCCATGTCCTAAGCCCGTACCTACTCTTGACTTCATTTGGAAATAAGACGTTTATACTTGTAGCTCATTAAGACAAGATCATTTCAGGCACTGATCTGATAACTGGTTTTTCCATAAGGAAGGGGGATTTGTATACAGCCACAGAGATGCACAGGGGAGAATGCCATTGAAGATGGGGACAGGGATTATAGCAATGTGTCCTCGAGCTGAGGGACCTCAGAAATTGCCAGCAACCACCAGAAGTGAGGTTGCAGCAAAGGGCAGATCCTCCTGCAAGTCCCTGTGGGAAACCAGCCTATGGCATGGAGTTCAGACTTCTAGCTTCAGAACTGTGAGAGAAAAATTTTCTGTTGTTTTGTGTCACTCTGTTTGTGGCAATTTGTAATGGCAATCATGGGAAAGAAATACAGATATTTAAAAAATCATTGACAAAAAGCACATCTTTTTCCTCTAGGGAGCATTTTCTTTTATCTGGGATTATGGATAATGATAGACTCTTAAGAGACAATAGCCAAATAATATACACATATTACTGAAAAAATCATGTAGGTGAACCATTTCAGTTACAAAGGCATGCCTGATTTCACAATTCTGAGTACATCTGGAATACATTTTTTTAAAAAAAAATTAGGAGTAGAAAAGGAATTTTCCTGGTTCAAGATAGAAGTTTGTGAATATTTACAAAGGCATGCCTGATTTCACAATTCTGAGTACATCTGGAATACATTTTTTAAAAAAAAATTAGGAGTAGAAAAGGAATTTTCCTGGTTCAAGATAGAAGTTTGTGAATAATTTATCTTAAGTCTTAGGCATCAAATAGCATTTATGCAGTAATAAATAGCAGAAAAGCTACTGATATAAATCAATGAGCTATTCTGTGTGTGCAAAAAAGAGTCTTATCAGGGAAGGTGACAAGGCAAACACTAGCAAAGAGACACTCAGTTTGAAATGTTTCTGTGGCTTGCACTGAGCCAGTCTTGTTTACATTTTGCCACTTTTATCTGGGAAAAAGACTCTGCACTCCAATATTTGTAAGTTGAATAAAAAATAACTACAAATGAAACTCAAGATCTTAAGATAGCTATTAAAAACAAGAAACTCCTAATAGTCATTTCAAAAATAAAACATGAGTTGACTACGATGTGCTTGTTGTCTTTGCATATCCTTGTAAATATGTCTTTGCATATCTTTGTAAATCCTTTAAGTGAACCTGTCAAGACATAAAGAGTATGGGCTATATGTACTTTCAGTCGAGGAAGCAGAATTGTGGGGTTAGGGACTCCTGTCAGGACCACACGGCTTGCCATGCACACAGCCAGCACCCCAACCTCAAACCCAACTCTGCCCTAGAAGCTGTAACCTGCAGCCTCTCAGCTAAACTGCATGGTGATGAGGCCCGTCCACTCATCAGGATATACAGCTCACTAGGAAGCACATTCAGAATAAAACCAAGTTTAATGAGAAGATGTTCAAATGTTTTTTTTTTTTTTACCAAGCCAGTTTTTTGGTGGAGACCGGAAGTTTGACTCTGAAAAGTCAGATGAGATGTATATCATTCAGAAGTCCTTATATTTTAATTTTCTCACTTTATGGATGGAACATGTTCGCATGCTTACATCTACAGTGACTGTGGACAAGTAGGGAAAAAAATCAACAAAGTGAATCAACATACAAAGGGTTCTGATGGCAGTCTTCAGTTTCCACTGGGAAGAAGCTGCTGATGACTCTCACTTTCGCTGAGAGAGTTGTTCACAGCTGGCCCAGTGGGATCGGCAGCTGGCCCCAGGGAATTCCAGTTCTGGGAGATGCAGCCTGCAGCAGGCAAAGTGTGTTGCTCATCCTCAGTACTGACTTTTGCGACATGTAAATAACGGAGGGCTGGGTCTCAACCAGTTGTCTCCAAGGACGATGGCGTATCATTGCACCAACGGACATCGTGCCTCACTCAGTGTAGGCTCACGTCACAGATGCTGCTCAACCCTCTCTCCAAGGTAGAGAGATTTAAGACCCTCTCCCCTTTTCCCGCAGTTGTCTATGTGTTCTCTAATCACCTAGCCAGGGAGTGCCCGTGGAGTTGTGCTTCGGTAAAGATATTCCACGCAAAACATCACCTTCTGTTCTCTTGTTTCTTTCTTGCTTTGCCCTTTGACTACATTTTTGCTTTTAGCGGTCTTTTCCTTGCCTTCACTTTGAATGTATCTTGTCAAAAGGGCGTTTATGGTCACCAAGGGCTCCGTGTGTTGCCAAAGCCACTTTTGGGGACCCTGGGGGCATCACAGCTGAAGGAGAGAGCCTCCTTTTGACAGTTTGGTGCAATGTATTTTATAAGATTCTACCTTCATTTTAGGCACTCAGTTTCTGTTTTTTAATTTAGTCTTCTATTGAGAACATAATTGCGATTTAAAAACCCTTTTACATATGAAATGTGTGAATTCTCCAAAAGCCATATATTATACTTCAAGATGGAATAATGCAAAACAACTCTAGGCTTTTTCTCCTTCCCAGTATTGTAGCCTGGAGACTGCCCAGTAGAGAGCATCATTGAGCTGTTTTGGTCAGGGACATCTTGATCCCTTAGGGATATCTTGCCTGGCAATTGTGGATCTCTGGAAAGAATAAGGTGGATATTGTCTGGCAGGAAAGGGAGAAAGGGGAGATGCCCCTTGGGTTCTTAAGGTTCTGTATATCCAAGTGGAATAATAAAGGTTTTATATATTTTAAAAAATTTGATATAAACTCACAAAACTATTCCTCAGAAATAGGAAAAGCGTGCACACACACACACACACACACACACAACCACCCCCCAAAATTCCACAATGACCAGAGGACAACTGGCTTTAACAGAAATACTATTTTCTCCAGTGTTCAGTTCCTTTTTTTTAGCAGATTAATGTGTGTGTGTGTGTGTGTGTGTGTGTGTGTGTGTGTTTAAAATCAGATGATTAATGGGATTTAATGCTCCTCTAAGCTTTACTATGCTCTACTTCTCATTATTTCCCATCAGATTTCTAGATTTGACTGTAAAAGTTCCAGTCTAGGTGGACCCAGTGTAAAATCAGACCAGCACCCACAGTCCCCCAGGGTCACATGCAGACATTGCCATTCACTCTTTAAGCACTTACATTAAATTGCTGGTTGGTTAGTTCTTTTTATACCAGGGATTGCACTTGGGACCTTGCGCTTCCAAGGCAGGCAGCAGAACTACTGAGCTAAATCCTAGGACCAGTTAGTCTTCTTTTAATCTTTGAGGGTTGCTAAACTTTATCATGCTCCAGTGTCAATGCAGTTTTCTAACTGCTAGCCTGAGCTCTTTAGAATATTTTAGCTTTTTCCTGCCAGTAGATTTTCAATAAAATGAATGATGCCTTTCTTAATGTTCAAAGATCATTATTAAAGAATGACCCAGATATTTTCTCCTTTGCTTCTGAAGTGTTTTCAAATTCATCATCGGTTAGATTCCACACTGCTGCACCTCTGCACTGGTGTTTCTTGGATTGTCTCATTGCTATCGAATCAATTCGTACAGCAGTCTTGCTGGGTGGCTGTTGTTCATTTATGAAGCAAATCAATCTTAGAAATGTCAGATTGGCTTGCAAAGTGGCCATCTAGATCCAGCTGTCCAGGTGCACATCTCTCCTTCTCTGACTGCATAGAGATACCTACTGCACAACAAGTTTGACCTCGGAGAGCATAATGGGACTGATGTCACTGAATTAGCCTTGAGGTTGTCTTAGGACTTTCATAGCTACCTCTGGCATTCAGAGAGTGCTTTTCATAGTTCCCTTCTCTGAACTCTTACTACTCAGAGGTTAAACATAGTTTAATCTCTTGTTCACTATTACTTATGAAGTCTATGACTTCAGTTGCCATCTAACGCAATGACTAATAGCACTGAAGTATGTATACTAGCTCGATATCTTGAACATTT